GCAGCCGCCCGAGCCGCTTCCTCTGCTTCCCGTCCTCGAGTCCAGCCGGGAAGTTTGCAGCGTCTGTGCGTGCTTGTGTGTGTCTGTGGGCTTGAGTGGGTGTGGAAAGGCTTGGGCGGCGTTCGTGCCGGCCTTGGGGTTTTTGCCCACTGGGCTTCCCGTACCCCGGGTCGCTCCGGCGCTGGGCTGTGGCCCGCGGAGGGGGCGCGGCGGCGGGCTCTCGCCTTTTGTTGTTTCCTCCGCTTGGGGAGCGCCAGGGGGGACGCGCCTAGGGGGGGCGACTCGGAGCCGGGGCCTGTTGGCCCCCGGGGCTCCCGGGTGGGCAGAGCAGGGCGGAAAGTGCGGGCTTCAAGATGATGGCGGCCGAGGCCGGCGGTGAGGAGGGCGGCCCGGTGGGCGCCGGGGCCGGCGGCGGCGCGGTGGCCGGCCCGAGTCCCTACCCGGCCGTGTGCCGAATGAAGATACCTGCGGCCCTTCCTGTTGCAGCCGCCCCCTATCCTGCGATGGCGGAAGCTGGAGTGGTCGGGACTCTGGGTGGCGGAGCCTCCTTCGGGCCGGGGTTCCTGGGCGCCGGCTCGGCGGCGGGGGCTCCGGGGGGAGCAGGACTGACAGGCGGAGGTGCGCCTGCTGGCGTGGTTGGTGTCGCCCCCGGCCCTGGTGGGGACGTGGCTCTTCCCAAGGGGACCACTTCGTTGCCCGCCGAGACCCTGGGGCAAGGGGGCGGATTCCCCCCTTTGCCGCCCCCTCCTCAGCTGCTCCCGTTGGGCGCGGGCCTGGGCACCGTGGACGAAGGTGATTCTCTGGATGGACCAGAATATGAAGAAGAAGAAGTGGCGATTCCGTTGACTGCACCACCTACGAACCAGTAAGTCGGAACTGCTCTGGGAAAGACGAGGTGGGGCGGGAAGGGTGGAAGGTGGAGGAGACTGGCCCTATTCTTTCATTGGTGGTTGGTCCCGGAAAGTTTTGAAGTTTCAAGGCCCCATGCGCGCGGATTTAATTCCATCACCCATCTTCCTTACAGGCGAACTGCTCCCTTAGCGTCTTTATGCATCCCCTGGGCAGATGTAAAGTTTAGGAAAATAGGTATTGAGTGACAACCTGCTCCATTGAGGTGGTGTCCAGGGATCCATTCCACTGTTTTCAAAGCTACCCAGGCAGTCCCTGACTATGTTAACCTGAGTGTGCATTTCCAGAAGCTTTGAATTACAAGCAATTTGATCATTGGATTAACATCATTTGAAACTGTATTGGTCAAATGGCTTTTTTGACCTCCCCACCACCCCACCCCACCCCCGTTTTAATTCACCGCAAAAGCCTGTTAGTCAGAATTAGGAAAGCAGGTCTGTGAATTACAGGTGTGATTTAGGGTCTGTATTTCAATAACGAGTGTAACTTGTTTCATGGAATAAATTCCCAGGTGTAATTTTTTGTTAGTGAAACCTCGCTTAGTGAAATGCCGTTGGAGTTGAGACTCTAAGTACAATAATAAAGCAAAACAGAATTAATAGTGCTTTTCCATCTTTTTTGTTGGTGACCAATATCGTAATCTGTTGGAAAAATAATTTTTGACAGTCTGCTGCAATCTGCAAATAACTTTTTAAACGATAGCGCCTTCTTCCCCTTTTCTTTCCATATGTGAACTTAGGTACTTATTTAAAACATAGATCTGGGTGAGTCCACAATGTTGAGACTGGAAATGGTAATAGTCGATAACACTTGTTTTTGTATATATTTTTGACATCAGTTTAACTGACACTTTCAACAACTTGATAAGTATAGGAAAAATGATTCAGTTCATACAGTTAAAAGTCTTTTTGGTTAAGCTTCTTTAGAGGACTTAGAAAGAACTTAAAAAAAACTAATTAGGAAAAGATTTTGTAATACCAATTGAATTTTGTCTTAAGGCTATGTCGCTTGATATTTAAAGTGGAAAAGGTTAACCTTATACTAGTCATGGTATAAGGGTTTTGTGGGTTTTCTTTATTCAATGGAGAGTATATTTTGATACTTGATTCCAACTTAAATCATATCGGTGTATTGCAGATATTTCTGGGGGTGATATGCCTTTCTTAAAAATTCTCGTTTTATAGCACTGCTTAGGTTTTACCAAGTTATTTGAAAGAGTCAGTTAAGTATTTATTAAGTACCCAATACATGCAGCACTTGTGGTTGGAATAAAGTGTGAGATTTCATACCCAAAGAATCTAGTCTTAGGTCTGTTCGCAACTGAATTGCAATAGGCATAATTAGAATATTATGGTTCTAAATATTTTGTATTGCTAAGCATGAATGATTGTGCTTAAGAAAAAGTGTGAGAAATCCATGTTTGAGGTTTTCATAAGTATTTCAGCATAAAATAATATTCATGACTATGTATATGAAAATTTTTCATGTTGTTAGAGCTGTCCATAATTTCTAGTATATTTTAAAAATTTGTCTCCTAGAATTATAAATTTCACTCTTTAAATCTTAACTATCACAGTTCCTGGAGGAAGTATGGTATGTAGCAGGGGTCCTCAAACTTTTTAAACAGGGGGCCAGTTCACTGTCCCTCAGACCCTTTGGAGGGCCGGACTATAGTTAAAAAAAAAACTATGAACAAACTCCTATGCACACTGCACATATCTTATTTTGAAGTAACAAAACAAACGGGGCAAAAACACCCGGTGGGCCTGATAAATGTCCCGCAGGCTGTAGTTTGAGGACGCCTCGTATATAGTGAATAACATAAGCATGTAAATTCTTAAGTTAGTCAAGATTTGGGTTGGAAACCTAACTCTGGCATGTGATCTTGGAAAGGTCAGTTTTCCCATTGTAAAAGGGGGCTGGTTATTTTCCTTCTTATGATTGTTTTGAATATTTAATGATAATCCTTAAAGTATTCAGCACAGTGCCTGGCACATAGCAAGTGCTCAACACATAATACTCCAAAACACCAGAATACAGTTTTATCTTTTATTGAGTACTAGTTCTTTTTATAACAGGACTCCCTGATTAATAGCTATATTAGAGAATGTTTTTCTTCCTCTAAATACATGTCTTCCGTGATTAATTATATTAATACGCTTTGTTTTAACTTCTTGAATATTTTTCGGCAATTTTAGAAGTAGAATTTAAATGTTTTCTTTAATTTCCTACTTTAAATGTTTTTGAAAAGTTTTAATGATTTAGCTGTCAAATATTTTCTAAAAGTATTGATAAGATGGCCTTGCTTTAAATGAATAATTATTAATGCCAGTGGTCAAGGACCCTCCTGGTATAGTGGTTACACGTTGGGCTGATTACTGAAAGGTTAATGTTCCACCCAACCAGCTGTTCTGTGGGAAAAAGATTTTGCTTTCTGAGCCTGTAATGATTTGTAGCTTTAAGAACCCATGGGGGCAGTTCTATCCTGTCCTACCGGTCACTATGAGTCAGAACGGACTCAATGGCTGTGCTTTTGGGACTGGGTTTGGAACTTTTGAGAGCAAGTGGTCCCTTTAGATTGAAGATGTGTAGGTCATATGTTTGAGTCCATAAGTGGTTTACTTGTCTAGGGTTCTCTGGGCTTGGAGATCAGTTTGTATCCCTCATGTTTTGTGCTGTTCGAAACAAGAGAGATAGGCCAACTGTATTAACACTCTTAGTATTTTTAAATTTTTTTCCTGTGGCGCATGGTGAGTGGTCTGTTTATTACTGAGCATTTTATTAAAGGCTAGAAAAATACAATTTTAGCTATTATGTTTACTTGAAATGCTTTAATTATTAAATTTACTTGAAAAATTCCATGTTTTGAGGAATTTTTTTTTTAAGGAAAATGTTTGCTATATTTTTTTCTGTTACAGTAGGATTCTGGATCAAAATTGCTAGCAAATTTCATTTTCATTAGCAAAACATTATATTAAGGACATTGTCATTGCTCGACAATAATTTTAGAGTAGCTTTTTATGGTTCTCATTTCTTTCTTTCCTTGGAATGGGGAATGGTGGTGTTAAGGGATATATTTTCCCCTAAATCCACCTTCAGTATTCAAATACTTAAAAGAGACCTTGGACTGGATGCAGGATATGTATTGCTTACTCTTAACTATGTTTGCACCATTTAGTAATTAGTTGACACTCTTTTGAAATAGGGAGATTCTGACATTTAAGGATTCTATATTTTCAGCATCTCCTGAATAATCCAGTATTTGGCTGTTCTTGGTGGATGTTCCCGCTTGACACTGATAAGAGAGAACTGAGTAGTAGGTGCTCTTTTTAATGGCACTCTGAATTCCTCAGTTACTTTTTCTTTGATATTGTTCGCCTGGCATCTGGTATAGGTTTTATCTTGGATCTAGTATGTAGAATTCTCAAGCCTGAACTTTAAAAAAAAGGAAATAAGAAATGAAAATAACACCCTTTCCTTAAAAATAATTTATAATATAAATTTTCTTAATTCAATAAAATAATTGCAGATGATCAATGTTAGAACCTACAGAGTTCATTAATTTTGTCACCGATTGTGATATAACTGATGAGTCATTATTTCTTAATAAAAAGGGGGGTAAGAATTGCAAAGATGACTTATAGACAGAGTACTTGATGACCAGGATGCTGATGTTATTACTGTATTTAAAGAATAGTAGAGTACACAATTAAAATATTTCCACAGCATATGTTGCTTTTGACCGTCATTTCTTATTTCTATGGTCCCTGGGTTGTGACAATGGTTTTGTGCTCCATTTATTAGCCTAAAGGTTGGTAGTTCAAATCCACTCAGTGGTATAACAGAAAAAATGATTGGCCTTCTTCTGTAAAGATTACAGCCAAGAAAAGTCAGTGAAATGGTTCTCCTCTGTAACATATGAGGTTACAATGAGTCAGAATCAACTCCATTGCTTCAGATTTGGATATTATTTTTATTTTTAAATCTTAATTTGAACCAAATATACTGGAATATGGATGTAGGCTGTCTCACTATTCAGTAGTCAGATATTTATAAAACAGTTGTTTCATCTTGAAATAATTTACAATATACCTCAGTTTGGGACTATACAAAAATAATTATTAGATAAAATTTATTACTGATACTTTTCTTTATGTGTGATCGCATCTCAACAGGATTTGAGGTAAAATTTTAGACATTCTAGTGATTCCTTGGTTACCTGAAAAAAGATGATGATGATCCTGGAGACAAGAAATATAAGAAAATACCTCTTCTTCTCAAGGAATATACAATCTGCTTGGAAGATGAAGTATTACTAATAGAGAACTGTTGCTTGATGCTGTCAAATCAGTTTGGGCTCATAGTTAGCCTATGAACAAAAATCTGTGACCAGAACGAACATTTTCCAGGTCTGCACCATCTTCACAGTTACCTTGTTAGAGCCCACTGTTGCAGCCACGGTGTCAGTCCATCTTGTTGAGGGTCTTCCTTTTTTTTCCCGCTGCCCATCTACCAAGCATGATGGTCCTTTTCTAGGTACTGGTTTCTCCATAATGTGTCTAAAGTACACGAGACAAAGTCTAACTCTTCTCACTTCGAAGGAGCATTTCAGTTCTTTCAAGAGACATTTGTTCTGGCAGGCCATGGTATAGTCAGTATTTGCAGCACTGTAATTCAAAGGCATCACTCTGTGGTCTTCCTTACATTGCCCAGCTTTTACATATATCAGAAGGGACTTAAAATGTTTTGTGACAGGTGCACTTTAGTTCTCAAAGTGACATTTTTGGGGGGCTTTTTTTAATGCTTTGCAGCAGATCTGCCCAATGCTATATGTTACTTCCATGGGTTTTGATTATAGATTTAAGTAAAATTAAATCTTTCACAGCCTGAGTGTTTTCTCCATTTATCATGATGTTCAGTTGTGAGGATTTTTGTTTTCTTTATATTCAGGTAATATACACTGACACGGTTATCTCCAACCCAGATTTCATGTTATTATAGTTCAGCTTCTTGGATTATTTTGCTCAGCAAACAGATTGAATAAGTATGGAGGGATACAACCTTGATAACCTGAGTGAGTTTAAACCACGTAGTGTGTCCCATTACTCTTTGAATGACTGCTTCCTGATCAATGTTCAGTTTCCACATGAACACAATTTAATGTTCTGCATTCCTATCCTTTGCAACATTGCCCATAATTTGCCATGATCTATACAGTTGAATGAGTTAGAGGAACAAGATGCATAAAATGAACTTATAGACATATTGTTTAGAAATTTAGGGGATAGTTGTAGAAGGATTGATACAAATGAATTCAATGAAAGCATGATATTGACATGCTTTCCTGATTCATTTTTGCTGAAGTTATTGTTAGAATTTTGATGCATTGGTATTAGATATGATAACCATGAGAATGATATGCATAGATATATAGAATTGAAGAGATTTGAGGAACTTGTCAATGCTCAAATATATAAGCTAACATAGTGGCTTGCTAAGGTTATATACATAGGTAGGTGGTAGAACTGGGACACAACCTAGTTGTTTTCTAGGTATGTTTATGAAGTTGTTGTTAGTGCCATCAAGTTGTTTCTGACTCACAGTGATGTTAATAAACAACATTATGAACAGAGAAAATTGACCTTGCCAAGGATTTCATTTAAATTTTTTTGGTGGCTGTGTTAGTCTAGATACTTTGGAGAAACAAATCCCCAGCAACTCATGTATAAGAGAGAGTTATATGTAAAGAAAATGTGCATCACGAAAACATCCCAACCCAACATTAACCCATTTACCCACATCAATAGTCCACAAAGTCCTCCACCTCACAAAACAGAGGCAATGATGCCGACTGCAGGAGGAAAGCTGAGTCAGTGAACGAATAAGCATCTCAGCACTAGCAGGGGTCTCCACACAGCTGCTCCAGAACCCAGGGCTGCATTGGGATAGGTCCATGTGGCTTCTCCTTGGGGATGTCTTGTAGGAAGTCAATCTTGCAAGCTGAAGCAGGGAACTGCTAAGGCAGCTGCACCCTGGTGCGACCATCACAAAGCAAGAGACCCAAGAACTAGAAAGGCGAGGCTCACCACCCATTTATCCCTCTGCCTTTCAATTAGCCCCACATGTGATTATCGGCCAGGCTAGCACAATGAACTAACTCAGTGGCATAAATAGTTAAGTTCTCCACTACTAACTAAAAGATTGGTGGTTTGAACCTGTCCAGAGATGTCTTGGAAAAAAGTATTGGTGATCTATTTTTGAAGGTTCACAGTCTTTGAGAACCCTATAGAGCAGTTTTACTCTGTGTACTTGGAGTTGTAATTTGTTGGAAGTGCTCCAGTGGCAACTAGCAACAGCATCAATACTTATAATTATTTTTAGGTGGAGGAAGGGAAAGCAGAGTCTCTGAGTATATCAGTTATTTACTATATGCCAGATACTTTCCATACAGTACCTCATGTAATTCTCACAATTTTGCAGTTATTTTTTTATTGAGAAAACTGACAACCATAATTCTGATGCAAATATTATGCTTTTCCATCGACTTACCCTCCCAGTACATGTAACACACATCCTTGTAGTACACGTAACACATACACATTAAACATTTTTATGGAAAAATGGAATTAAATGATAATAGATTTTTCTTAGGAGGCTCCTTGGATGTGCCTGTTAGGTTAGCAGCCAAGCTCTTTGAACACCATGCCACCAGAACTGAAAGATGTGAAAAAAGCAAAACAAAAACCAATTGTTGTTGTTGAGAGTTGCATTCACCTCATAATATGTAAATTGTATGTCTGATTATTATTGGGTGCAGAAGCAGTTCTACACAGAACTATTATGCCCTTCAAAAAAATCCTAGGGGTGATACATTACCAGCATTTTTATTCATTCTGTACTCATTGCTGTAATGTTCAATGTTACTTTTCCTTTCTCTCATATCTCTGTCTCAAGCTAAAGGAAAGGCTTAAAGATCTCTGAACTCTTAAGGCTTCTTTGTAGGTATAATTTACTAGCCTGGGTTCATATGTAAGACAGATTTTTAACAGCAGAATCATATTCCTTCTCTAGATCTGTCTAAATATTGATCAGTCTTAATTTTTTAGTTAAAACTTTCAAAATAGAATTTTGAGATGAGTCAGTAATTTTTGTCTCTTTAGAGGTTTTTATAGACTCACAGAAAGTTGTAAAAGATGATACACTACAGAGCTATCCCATGTATCCTTTATTGTTATCCCTCAGTGGTTACGTCTTGCATACATGTAGTACAGTGTTTCCAAAAGTGGTTGATACTGCCCCCTGGGGGGGTGCTGGAACAATCCCAGGGGCAGCAAAAGCAGAATAGTACAGAATGGCACATCAGAGAATTGGCATTGAAACCATCTCCCTATCTTACACAGATTCCACCAGTTTACAGACACCACCTTTCTTTACTTTTTCATACCAGGGTACTTAAAATTCATGAAAAATGGAAGTAAAAAATAATAGGTTTTCCCCCCACAAACTTTTTGAGGCTGTGTGTGTGTGTGTGTGTGTGTGTGTGTGACACACACAGAAATAAAGAGAGGGAGAGGCTTTCCGTTCCACTAAAGATTCACAGTATTGGGGGAAAAGCCAGGGGCTCGGTGACTGAGTCTTTGTGTTTATTTAGTTCTGTGCAGTTTTTTCACTTGAGCAGACTTGTGTAACCATTACCATGGTAAAGAAACAGAACAATTTTATTACCTTTGTACTATCTTTAATAACCAAACTCATCTCTCTCCTCTTACCCTTCCTTAATAAACCCTGACAATCACTAATTTATTGTCCATTTTGTCTTTTAAGAAGGTTATATAAATGGATTGATGCAACATAAAACCTTTTGTGATTGATTGGCATTTGTTCCTCACTATAATTTCTTCCGAGTTCCAGCCAAATTGTTGACCTACACCAATAGCATGTTCTTTTTCATTGCTGAGTAGTAGTCCATGGTGTGACTGTATTACAGGATGATCTTGAAGTCTATTATGAAATAGTTTTTTTAAATTGAAAACTTTTTTCCTTCATTACAGTGTACACACTCATTCGTCAAGGGTAGCAAGGGCTATCTTAAGAGAATTTCATTGGGAAACTTTACCCAGTCTACCTTACAGCCTTCGTCTTGCCATGTCAGATTTCTTTATGTTCCCCAAACTCAAAACATTTCAAAGGAACTTGATTGTGAGTCCCCCATAGAATGTCAAAGCCCCTAAAGGGTTGCCATGAGTCAGAATTGATTCTGTGGCAGTGAGTTTTTATTGAGTGAGAATACCAAATCAGCTGTTGGATATAGTGTAAATTGAGTTCTTAAGGGTTAGAGAGATGGGAACAATGCCTTTAGAAGTATGTAGACTTAGATAGAGGATATAACAAAACACTTAGATATTTTTGTGTGACAATATAAGATTGTGTAAGAGTGATTCCTCCCACTTTATTCCTTTTCAAGATAGTTTAGCTGTTGTTGAGCGTATGCCTTTACATAGAGGTATTAGAATAAGCTTGTTCAATTTTACACAGACTTGCTTGAGAGTTTTATAGGATTTGTATTACACCTAGAGATCAGTTTGGAGAGATTTGGCAGTTTTACTGTATTGCTAACATCTTTTCATTTACTTAGATCTTTGATCAGCATTTTTGTAATTTTCAATATATAGATTCTATGCATCTTTTGTTAGATTTATACATTAAAAAATATCAAGGTGAAGTGGTGTACTTCTTTCTGTTTCACAATGAGGTTTTATTAATGAATGCTGAATTTTATGTTTGTGTGTATCAGTTCATATGACCACATGAGGTTTTTTCTTTTGTTTTTAATCCATTGCTGGAGGATTATAATAATTTTCCATTGATGAGCCAGCCTTGCAATATTTGGAATAAATTCCATTCGGTAATTATGTAATTATCTTTAAACCTTAGTTGCCTGTATTATGTTGAGTTTATTTGTATATTGTTATTTTTGTTTAAGTTCATGACAGTCTCTAGTTTTCTTGTGAATTTTTCTATGATTTTGGTATCTAGATAATACTGACTTCAAACTGGTAGGTGGAAAGTTATTCTTTCCACCTTATGCATTGAGCTATTGATAATCTAAATACTTGGTAGACTTCCCTAATGGAATCAGAATTCGCTTTATAATTATGAGCTCAATAGATAAGTTGTTAGGGGAATATTCATATTTTCTATTTTATCTTGGTTGAGTTTTGATTGTTGTCATTAGGTGCCGTTCTTTCTCTTCCAGTGCAGCAGCTCTGTTGAGCAGAATGAAACGTTATTGGGCCTTGCACAGTCCTCACGATCCTTAAGTGTGAGTCCACTGTGGCATCACTATGTCAGTCCGTCTCTTTGATGGTTTTCTTTACCAAGCATGGTGCCCTTTGCCAGGGATTGGTTTATCCTGACAGCATGTCCAAGGTTCAGTAGTAATGTAGTATTTAAGGAATTGATACATTTCTTATATGTTAAACTCACATAAGCTTGAACTCATTTTCATATTATCTTCTTTATTCCTAAATCTAATTATAAATTGATTACTAATTATGGTTTGATTACTAATTACGAATTTAGCAAGACTAAAGACTACAGTGTACATGTAGAAACCTAAATTTGAAACATTTAGTTATGGCGTAATAGACCATTTTATTCCTGTTATTGGTGATTTATATCTGCTCTCATCTTTCTTTGTCAATCTGGCAAAAAGTTTATTAGTTTTATTACCTTTTATCCAGGAGCCAAGTTTTTCTTTCATTAATTGCTTCTGTTTCCTTGTTTTCAATTTCATGGACTTCTGCCCATAGTTTATCATTTCTTCCTTCTGCTTGCAATGTGTTAATTTTGTTCTTTATTCCTAGTTTCTTGAGGTAGGAATTGAATACTGGTTTGAAACCTTTTTTCTTATGTAACTATTCAAATCTGTACAGTTTTCTTTAATCACTCTTTAGCTTTGTCTTACCTTTTTTGATATGTAATAGTTCCGTTTTTTCATGTTCTATTTACTTTTTTTTTAAGTTTCTTTGAGAGTCTTTAATTTGTGGACTTTATAGAAATGTGTTGTTTTAATTTCCAAGTGTTGGAGACTTCTTAATAGTTACCTTTCTGTTAGTGATTTGTAGTTAGAAAATGTAAGATGTATGATTTCATCTTTTTAAATTATGTTTACATTTGTCTTGTGCCCAGGTTATGTTTAGTCTCATTGGATGTTGGATATTTGAAAAAAAATGTGTATTTTGTTGTTTGGTGGAATGTTCTAAATAAGTATATGTCAATTAGATCCTGTTGGCTGATATGTTGTTTAGAACTGTTCTATCTTTGCTGATTAGCTCTTTAGTATTCCTATAGTTTCTGAAAGAGATGTAGAAGTTTTCATTAACTCAACAGGAGTCTGATTGCCTCAGTGGCATTGAGTTTGGTTTGGTTTATATTTGATGCACACATATTTATGATTACTATGTATAACTGGTAGATTGATTATAATTCTATTGTATAGTCTTTTGCCTCTAATAATTGTCGTGGCTCTGAGGTCTATTTTAATTAATATAGATATTCCTTTAAAAATTGGTTTTTGGTGAAAGTTTACAAAGCAGATTAGGATTCCATTTAACAACTGTTTAGTGACATTGGTTACATTTTTCACAATGTTTTCAACATTCTCATTTTAATCGTTTAGTTTCCATTAACCTATCTTTACTGTGCACTCTCCTAGAGCTTGCTCATCATGGATTGAGGTAAATGTTGACTGGGAGTCCTTGTGGTTTAGTGGTCACACTTTAGGGTGCTAAGCCCAGTGTCAGCAGTTTGAAATTACCAGCAGTTTTGCAGAGAAAGATGGAACTTTCTACACCCGTGAAGAATTACCGTCTCCAGGAGGGTGGAGGAAAGGGGAGGGAGAAAGGGGGAACAGATTACAAGGATCTACATATAACCTCCTCCCTGGGGGACAGACAGCAGAGAAGTGGGTGAAGGGAGATGTCAGACAGTATAAGATAGGACAAAATAATTTATAAATTATCAAGGGTTCATGGGGAAGGAGGAAGCGGGGAGGGAGAGGAAAAATGAGCTGATACCAAGGGCTCAAGTAGAAAGCAAATGTTTTGAGAATGATGAGGGAAACAAATGTAAAAAAGTGCTTGACACAATGGATGTATGTATGGATTGTGATAAGAGTTGTACAAGCCCCCAATAAAATGATTTTAAAAAACCCCTAAAAACTAAGCTCAAATTCACTGCCGTTGAGTTGATGCCGACTGTATTAATCTAGGTACTTTAGAGAAACAAATCCACAGAAACTCATATGCATAAGAGAGAGTTTTATATAAAGGGTAAGTGCACATCAAGAAAATATCCCAACCCAGTGCTGCCCAAGTCCACATCCAGTATTGGCCCATATGTCCAACACTGATCCACAAGGTCTTCCTCAATCTCACAAAACACGTAATGATGCTGACTGCAGGAGGGAAGCCGAATCAGTGAACATGTAAGCATATCAGTGCTGGCAGGGATCTATCTCCACATGGGTGCTCCAGCACCCAGGTTGCATCGGGGTAGGTCCATGGGG